TTTCTCTTGTTCCGCCCACTTTGTTGACGACTCCAACTTCTGCCCGCCAATCTTTTTGGAACATCACACAGAAGAAAATGGAGGGGGAGAGGGCTCCCTTACACCCTGGGCGGACAAAAGGAGGGAACACCCCGGCTGGGGTATTGCGCCCGCGCCGCAAGTGGGCCACGTAAGGCTCCTTCCCGGTAGGGTGGGGGCACCTTTTGGCGACACCCAGGCCCAGTGGGGGAGGGGCGAGTTGAAAATTCCCAAAACGCCAGGGGGCCAATGAGGGGTAACAAGCGTGGCAGGGGGGTCTTTGTGTTTCCCAGGCCCACCGGGGGCAAGCAGTTTGTGCACCTCCGCCACCCCCTGGGGGGGGGGGGTGGCAGTTGGGACAACCAGGCTGGTGGGGTGGGGTGCAGTTGTGGGCAACCAGGCCGGCACGGGAGGTAGTAAAGGGTGACAAGACCAGAGGGGGGGCAGTCAGGGGTGACCAGGCTATCAGGGGGCCAGTGAAGGTCGACCAGGATGACAGGGGTAGCAGTTAGGTGCAACCAGGCTGGTGGGGGGGCAGTTAGGGGTGACCAGGCTGGCAGAGGGGGGGCAGTTAGGGGTGACCAGGCCAGAAGGGGGGTAAGTTAGGGACGATCAGGCCAGCAGGCAGAGGTGGTTAGGGGGTGATCAGACTGGCAGGGGGGCAGTTAGGGGCGATCAGGCAGGCAGGCAGGTGAGCAGTTAGGAGCCAGTGGTCCCGGATTGTGAGAGGGATGTCCGACTGCGGTTTAGACCCTGCTGGGGTCCTAGATTGGAGAGGGTTCAGGCTGGGCTGAGGGGACCCTTCCTCTGCACAAAGTTCGTGCACCAGGCCTCTAGTCTATACTAATAAAAGAGAAAAATGCAAATTGACCATCCCTCTGCGATGCCCACAAGCCATGCCCACCAGCCAATCTGGAGTGAGTATGAAAGTTAACCTGACAAAGATGGAGGGTTTTTTGCATACGCTGGTGTCAATTGCCCCGGGAGGCAACAGTGGCCACGGGCTCCCGGGACCATCGCCGTCCCCAGGAGGTGATGCCGGCTGTGCCTAGCCATGCCTGCGGGTTCCCGGGACCTTCACCAGCAGAGAGCAGAGCAGGAGAGCGGGCGGAGAGTGGGAGGTTTGGAAGACTTGGCAGAGCAGGAGGCCACTGGACATAGTGCAGAGCGAGAGAGAGGGCGGCTTGCAGGGCGTGGCTCCCTCTGTCACCCCAGCTTCCTCACCACAGCTGTGGAAACTGACAGCAGGGAGGAGGAAGTCCCACCCCCATAGAATCAGTCAGAATCAGCCATTTGTCAGACAGCTCTCAGCAGTCTGACAGCTAGGATTCCCATTCACCTGCATCTCAGATCGTGACAGTAGAGAGCTGGGACTATGTCTAAAGAACAACTATTTATATAATGTAGCTCTGCAGCCGAAAGATGCCGGCATTATCAACAGAAAATGTCTGAAGAGCAACATGTTTCTGATCTTGAAAGAAGGCGGCGCCTGCGACAGAATGTATCTGAAGACCAGCTATTGGAAAAATGTCACTCTGATGCCGAAAAACACCGGTGTCATCAACAGAAAATGTCTAAAGACCAACGTGCCTTTGAAGTTGAAAGAAGGGGTTGGGGATGACAGAATATGTCTAAAGAACAGTCATCAACAAGTACTAGCAATTCTGGTAGGAACTGCCTTCTCTGCAAAAATGTAGTACATGAGGATGCAATTCTCGAACATAGTTTTGGTAGAATGACTGTTTGATATGAATTTTGCCTATCACTAAATTTCTCTGATGAAAAACCACCCGATAGGAAATTTACTCGATGTTGTAGCAAAGGGAGAGTCTGTCTAAATGATATACATTTTCCAGATTACCCGGCATATTTAAAAAGATTAGTGACAGATGAAGATTATGACAGTAAAAATTTCATGGAAAATATTCGATCCATAAATAGTTCTTTTGCTTTTGTTTCTATGGGTGCAAATATTGCATCGCCATCAGGATATGGGCCATACTGTTTTAGAATACACGGACAAGTTTATCACCGTGCTGGAACTTTACATCCTCCGGATGGTGTTTCTTGGAAGTTTGCTCAACTCTGCATTTTGGATGCAGCTGAAGCTACAAGTAAAAAATTAGCAATGCCAGAAAACTAGGGCTGCTCAGAAAGACTCATGATCAACAGCAACAACCTCATGCATGAAATAAATGAATTAACAATATTGTAGAAGATGCTACATGAGGTAGAAAAGGAAGCCCAATCTGAAGCAGCAGCAAAAGGTATTGCTCCCACGGAAGTAACAATGGCAGTTAAATACAATTGTAACAGTGACCCAGGTAGATAAAATTCTCCCCATGTAACCAAGGGTGCTGTCATATTCAAAAACAATGATGGAGAACCTCCTTTTGAAAGGAACTTGCTCATTCATTGTAAACCATATCCCAATAATCCAAATGCCACTAAAATGAAACAAATCAATATCCATTTTCCTACATTAGATGCAATGACATATCCCAGTGATGGCGAACCTTTTGAGTTCGGTGTGTCAGCATTTTGAAAAACCCTAACTTAACTCTGGTGCCGTGTCACATATAGAAATTTTTTGATATTTGCAACCATAGTAAAACAAAGATTTATATTTTTGATATTTATTTTATATATTTAAATGCCATTTAACAAAGAAAAATCAACCAAAAAAATGAGTTCGTGTGTCACCTCTGACTCGCATGTCATAGGTTCGCCATCACTGACATATCCTATTCTTTTTCCACATGGTGAAAAAGGCTAGGGAACAGATATTACACTAAGACTAACACAACAGTGTAATCGACAGTAATACTAGACAAAATGTAAGGACATGAGTCACACAAATACAGTATTATGGATTTCATCTCTCTGTGCGTGACACGTTCAATCCTATTTTAAATGCAGGAAAGTTAACAGTTTATCGTGGATTCATATTAAAAAATGGAGGCCAATCGGATAAATTTCATCAAAGCAATCTAAGTTGAGAGTTGAAAAATATAGTGGTTTGATGGATTATCTCAAATCTAGATCTGAAAATGACAATGTGCCGATTGGTAAAATGATAGTACTACCATCATCTTTTGAGGGTAGTCCTAGAAATATGCAGCAGTGATATCAGTATGCTATGGCAATTGTAACGAAGCATGGCAAGCCCGATTTATTCATAACCATGACATGCAACCCCAAATGGGCAGATATTGCAAACAATTTACAACAGTGGCAAAAAGTTGAAAACAGAGCTGACTTGGTAGCCAGAGTTTTTAATATTAAGCTGAATGCTCTTTTAAATGATATCTGTAAATTCCATTTATTTGGCAAAGTAATAGGTAAAATTCATGTCATTGAATTTCAGAAACGCGGACTGTCTCATGCTCACGTCCTCTAATTAATTCCCTTTCAATGTGCACAAATTTCATGCACCGGCTCACTAGTCTATAATAATAAAAGCCTAATATGCTAATTAGACCGGACAACCTTCTGGAAGAAGCTGGGGCTGCGAGAGCTGAAGCAAGCCGCTGCGGCTGTGAGGGCCAAGCCCCTTGCACAAATTTCGTGCATTGGGCCTCTAGTATCATAATAACATACGAGCTTGCAGAAAAATCATTCTTATTTAGGACCCTCAGGAATAGGGTTCTAGGAGGTGGTGGACACCACGCTAAAGGAATCCTAGATGGATTTAAAAGAGGGAAACAAAAATGCAATAATATGTGTATGAATTTGATTTTTCTCTCCAGGGAAGCCTAGTAGATACTCGGTGCCCAAGGTTTTTATTGGGGGTTGGTCATGTAGGCACCCTCTGCCTAGGATATATAAAAATTCCCGACTCTCAGAAGAAACTCCCAGGTTTTCAGCATAAATCACTTTATTTGCACAAACAATTTAGGCACAGTGAGCCACCCTTACCGGAGAACAGTGGGAACGCTCCTGAAATCCAGGTTCCTAGACACCCATAAAGAGTCAGTCTTGCAAGCAGGCCTTTCTATGGAAAGCCGTCAGCTCTGCTGACTTTTACGCGTGGTGTGTGTATGGTTCTTTGCCATTTTATTATCAGTGCTAGTGTAACCACTATTGCAGTCAAGATGAAAGAACTCACATCACTACAAAAATCTCTTTTATTCTACCCCATTATAGTTAGTCACAGGCACCCCTTGCCCTCCTCGCTCTCCCTAATTACTAATCTTCTCCATCTCTATCATTTGGCATAGACCATTTTAAATGAAGGAAATATCCTCATGTTTTAATTTTTCACTGAGGAATTGACAAGCTTTATGTTTATACTGTTAAAACAAAATGCATACATGGACAATAAAATACTTTGATTTAAGAGACCATTGTATTTTTTAATCTGGATGGTAGATACGTGAGTGTTCATTATATTATAACCTAAAGTGTTTTGATACCTGAAATATAAATGAATTTTGCAAAAGGTTTAATATAACAAATCTTGATGGCATTTGCTTCCATTTTCTTTAATCAAACTCTCATATTTTATTTCAGGATTATTGACTATCTTCTTCTTCTTGGTCAAATTATCAAATACATCTAAAATGAATTCTCTATTATTAGATGATTGATAATATAATGATAATTTCACTATTTTAATAATTATTAGACAGACCTAAGATATTTAATTAATCTTGCTAAATTTTAAAGTAGCTTAGTCTAAATAATCAATTAAAATATATTTTATCATTTTAGGCACATCAGATTAATATTGATTATTATTTGACATTACTGTTCTTGTATGGATTAGCACTCACTGAAAGAGGAAAGAAAGAGGTATGTAACATTTGTTATTTGCCTATTATAAATCTTTTTACATATACTGACCTCATTTTAACAAATTAAAATGTTGATTTTTGAAATTCTCTAAAAATTGAAACCACTCAGTGACTTTTCTTTTATATATTTTTAATATAGTATAGTTATGCTAGAGACTATTTTGTGAAATAAAAGTTGATAGGGGAAACATAATTTTAGCTTACAACTTTATTTCATTTATCCTTTAAATGCTTACCATTTTGTAAAACAAAATTGCTTATCATCTTTCACTTATACAATACATTTTAATCCATTTTCTAGTATAGTTTAATCTGGCTGGTCCTAATCTTACCCCTTGTAAAATATGAGTTATACTTTGAATTTTTGGTTGAATAAGGTGAAGTGCAAAAAGTAAAAATCTGGGAGTTTACTAGGTGATTTCTAAGAGTTCTTCGAATTTAACATTATCTTTTTATGTTTTTTAATGATTTCTCATATTATCTTTGCAACCTTGATATTTCCTTTACTTTTTTGTCTCTAGAAATCTATACTTTTTATTTGTTATTTGAAAAGTTAGGAAGATTTGTGCTCCAATTAGAAAGCAAATTAGTGAGACTTATAAAGTATTGCCGGAACCGGTTTGGCTCAGTGGATAGAGCGTCGGCCTGCGGACTGAAAGGTCCCAGGTTCGATTCCGGTCGAGGGCATGTACCTGGGTTGTGGGCACATCCCCAGTAGGAGATGTGCAGGAGGCAGCTGATCGATGTCTCTCTCTCTCTCATCGATGTTTCTAACTCTCTATCTCTCTCCCTTCCTCTCTGTAAAAAAAAAAAAAAAAAAATCAATAAAATATATTTAAAAAAAAAAAGTAAAAATAAAATCTCTTTAAAAATAAAAAATAAAAAAATAAAGTATTAGCTACTAATATTTGCCAGTTTTACAAACAAAAGTTGTTGTTGTTTTTCTTAATCCTCACCCGAGGATTTGTTTTTATTGATTTTTATTCATTTATTTTTAAAATATATTTTTATTGATTTCAGAGAGGAAGGGAGAGATAGAAACATCAATGATGAGAGAGAATCACTGATCAGCTGCCTCCCGCATGAGCCCACAACCTGGGCATGTGCCCCTGACCGGAATCGAACCTGGGACCCTTCAGTCCACAGGCTGACGCTCTATCCACTGAGCCAAACCGGCCAGGGCATGATTTTTAGAGAGACAAGAAGGGGGAGTGAGAGAGAAAGAGAAACATTAATGTGAGAGAGAAACATTTATCGGTTGCCTCTCGTACCAGAGATCGAACCCACAACCTAAGTATGTGCCCTAACTGGGAATCGAACCCACAACCTTTTAAAGTATGGGATGATGCTCCAACCAACTGAGCCACCAGACCAGGGCTATTTTTATTTTAGTGTTCACTTTGAAATGTTGGTCAAAAAATACCTTAGGTTATTGTACATATTTTAAGCATATGTGACCACATACTTCAGTGCTAGGATTAGAGATGTGAATAAATGACCAAAAGACTGGACCAATATTAAAGTTTCCCTAACTTCTCAAGTTTGGGGAATATTTGTTTATTGTAAAAGAAAAAAAAAGTCTTTACATTAGCCAAACCGAGTTTTATGTTCCTACAGGATTATACGGAAGCTGAGAATAAGTTTCTAGTGATGAAGATGGTGATCCAAGAAAATGAAATTTGTGAAAACTTTATGTCTTTAGTTTATTTTGGACGTGGTTTGCTTCGATGTGCTCAGAAGAGGTAAGGATTTTAACTAATGGGTAGATCTTCCCTGTCAGCTTTCTGCATTGTGAAATGGAGATAAAGTTTGCTCAGTATACCAGGTATCATCATGCTGGGCGGATTTTTTTTCTTCTTCACCTATTTTTTACAGATAATAATTTAATTTAATGTACTTGAGAATATTAAGTGTCAAACTTAACAGGCCGTGACAATAAGAGGCAATATAACATAGACATTGGTATATAGTCTTTGGAGTCTGACAGACCTGGGTTCAAATACATTTTCTACCACCTACCTAATCTTTGATTTAAGGAAACTTAATGTTCACTAGGCCTTATCTTTTTTCTTATTTGTCAAATGGAACTAAAAGTAGTGCCCACCTCATAAGATGTTGCAGGTAATTAACACAGTGCCCAGGACACAGAAATGCTATCTTAATAAATAAACGATGGTTGTAGTTTTTAATATTATCACCACTTGGAATAGGTGTTTAAGTTATAATAGAACTAATAAAACATCGGAAGAATCCAAATGCTGAGTTTTGGAAGTATTGGGTATTATATATTTAGTGTAATTGTACAGGGTAATCTATATGGACTAGTAGTCTTTTCACTTCCTATATATTTAGTGAAATTGTACAGGGTAATCTATATGGACTAGCAGTCTGTTCACTTCCTATTTGGAGATCCTTAGCCATTTGTAACATCATTCATTTTATTTGCTAAGCATTTATCATATTCTAGAGACTGTGCTAGATTTGGGGATACAATTATTTACAAAATAGACAGTTCCTATTCCCATGTAACTGATAATATTATAGATATTAATCAAATAATAAGTTGTGCAAAATATTTATAGAATGTTATAAAAAAAAACTATGAATGAATATACAGTGAACAATAAATGACTTCTAGAGCCCCAGTCTGGTTCTGGAAATCAGAAGTCTCTCTGAGGAAATAATGTTTAGCTGAGATCTGAAGGGTGAATTACACAAAGTTTACTTGTGCAAATCCATATGAAAGATTACTGCTTGGCCCAGCCATCCTATACAATAAAAGCCTAATATGCTAAGTGTCCAGTACTCCGGTGACCTGTCAACTGTTCAACCAATCAAAGCGTAATATGCTAATGATATGATAAGGCCACTCAACCGCTTGCTATGATGTGCACTGACCACCAGGGGGCAGACAGTCGGCTGGTTGACCAGTTGCTATGATGTGCACTGACTACCAGGGGACAGACGCTCCGACTGGTAGGTTAGCTTGCTGCTGGGGTCTGGCTGATCGGGACTGAGCAAGATGGGCCAGACATGACCTGGAGCCCTCTTGCTGTCCCTTCCTGTCTTCGATCTTGCACTGGTGGGGTCCCTCGGGAATGTTGGAGAGCTGGTTTCAGCCTGATCCCACAGGCCACTCTCTCGGGAAGGCACCAGACACAGGGCTCACAGCTGGCGAGAGCCGCTGTGGCGGTGCGAGCCTCTCCCAATCGGGACTGATTGGGCGCGAGCCTGTGGCAGGCATAGTGGGGCTGAGATGAGCGGGAACAGCAGGTAGGAGCTGCAGGTGGCATTGGACTGTGGGTTTCAGCTTGATCCCCTCAGGCCATCCCGAGGGACCCCACCCATGCATGAATTCCTGCACCAGGCCTCTAGTTGGATCCATAAAAGCATCACTACCTGTTAGTTCCCTGATTCTTTGGTTTATCTTCTATCCTTTGGCATACTTGCTTTTTACTAAGGTATCCAGAAGATTTCCCACTTTGTATTCACTAGTATGATGTCATCAATACCAATGAACAGTGTGATGTTTTGCAGAATGTTAGAATAATAAAAATCCCTTTAGTCTGTATTGTGGAGAGAATTAACATAGCTCTGACACAAGAAACGAATGTATATTGCTGTCCTTTCCTCAAATATGTACACTACTTTTTATTCTCTTTACTTATGGGCATTGGAGAGAATCCATTTTCCAGATGGTTGACACTAGAAAGTCCATTATATGGTATCATTTACTTTCATCCCTGACCTACAGAGAACCACCACCACTGAGCTGCCTTTCTGACTCTATATTTCTTATTGCATTAATGGATCGAGTGTCACATTGGTCTTTCCAGGGCAACGGTTGCCAACCGGTGGTCCGTGGACCACTGGTGGTCCGTGAGGTCTGAAAGGTTGATGACCACTATTCCAGGGGACATTGTCTAGGGATGGACTCTGTGGTCTTATGTACTAAGTCCTTTCTAATATCCTCCCCTCCCTGAACTTTCTTTTAATACTCTGCCACAAAGTTTCCAGCATTTCCACCTCAGTTACTATAGGCCATTGTTATGTCCAAGCTTCAAATAACCTTCTTAAGCAGCATGTTAGGACTGGCTTAAGGTATCCTTAGTAGGAAATTAAATCTTAAGTTTTGGAAGTTGCCCCATGTCAATACACATTTCCCTATCCAGCTGTATATTTGTCCACTAGTTCAGCACTCTTAAGGTTCATTGCTACACATGTTCTAGTACATACTAGTCAAGTTCTGCAATTCTCATGATGAATTGGGTTTGTTGGGTTTTTTTTCCCGGGCAGGGGCTCTGTGTTCCCATTTGGACTTTGCTTTTATGTGATCCTAGATATATTAGTCTGTAGGCAATGAGTGGAGAGGGAGGATCTTGAGAAGGAAGGCATCATCTTTTGAGACATGTACTCCAAATGGTATTTTTGTATGGCCCTTAAATAAAGGGAATCTGCCCCTCCTAGCAAGGAGTAGGTCTTTGCCAGTCAGAGGGGTCATGAGAATTTAGGAATTCATTGTTTCTAAGCATATTCACCTAAATGTCCACATTCCAGATCTCAGAGTCTACTTGTTTCCTGTCAGAGCCCCGATTTTCACATAATGGTACTGTTGAGGCTGTGCTTTTTTGTTTGTTTTTGTTTGTTTCTTTGTTTTTGGTGCCCTTGGCCGGAATCGAACCTGGGACCCTTGAGTCCACAGGCCAACGCTCTATCCACTGAGCCAAACCGGTTAGGGCATGAGGCTGTGCTTTTGATCTTTGCTGTTGTTCTACCCTTGTGATTAAATACTGGGCCTCATTTTCAGCATAGTTTGTCCTTATAATTAGGGTTGGTAAGGATTCTTTATATATTACCATGGAGGCCTTTTACCTTGAGTTGATTATAGTAGTCCCATCAAGGTTATGCATTTCATCTCTTTTATGGTTTGCTGCACCTTGTGATTAAACCTGGGACTGATTTTTTTAAACATAGATTGTATTTACCCAATATATCTACAGAAGATTAGGGTCTCTTTAAATGCCACCATAGAGGCCTCTGTCTTTCACAGTGTGTCTTGAGTCAATAGTTGGCTGACCTGTGCCTGTCATTCTCTTTCTTCAAGGCTTCCAAGACAGTAAACAAAAGCCAATCAACTCTACAATCCCTTTAATTACCATGGTCCCTATACTGTTCAAGTGAGCTACTACATAATCAATTGTCTCCCCTTCCACCTGTTTTTCATCCCAATCTACCACAGGTGAGAGTCCTAGTATTTGTATTTCTATAGCATGCCAGAGGTTATCACTACCCTACTTATCACACACAAAAAAGAGTTATTTGTTTTATTTTAAACTATTTAGTTACAGTGTCACATTCAAACTAACCTTATTTAAAATGCCTTGCAGATATAATGGAGGACTGCTAGAATTTTATAAAAGTTTACAAGAAATAAGTGATACAAATGATCATTGGTTTGACATAGATCCTACGGAAGATGAAGATTTACCTACAACTTTTAAAGTAAGCAATTATTTAAGAATAACATTTCATTTCTGACTAATCAGAATCATCTTTGATAAAGTGCAGTTTTTCTTAACTATGTCATAGTCTATAAGAAGCACATTCTTTAATTGGAAATTAGTTTTTTATATGAGAAATAACCTTGATTTCATTACGTAGTGTGGAATGTATGATTCAACAAGTAGAGAGAAGTGAAGAGGCTGTACTAGCATTTTCAAATAACAAGATTAAAAGCTCTACTAATCTATTTCTTCACAGGGCTAGAACTAAATGCAATAGTTAACTTTTTTTTTTCAAATTATACTTACCATTTTATTGTTGATTCTAATTTTAAAAGTACTAAATGCCTTAGGAAACTGAAAAATGTGAAAATGCCTGAAGGTAAAGCTAAAATTTGTTCATATTTCTTTAAATGGAGAAACCACTGTTAGCATTTTCATTTATATCTTTCCAGACACTCATCCTGCTGTTTATTATTTAGTTTATCCTAAACATTTTACTTTTTCACTATATGTACAGTGATCTTTGTGTATTTTTTACATCATTTTCTTAGGATAAATTTCTAAAAGTGGAATTGTGAAGCAAGTGTCCACACACTTGTAAAGTTGCTAGATATATCTCTATATTTTCTCTCAGAAAGTTTATACCAGGTTATAGTCTTAAGACACAGTATGAGAGTTTCTATATTTCCACATCCTCTGGGTAGTCTTTATTTTTTGGATAATTTTTACCTATTTTATAAGTCACATTGATCACTTTTTAATTTGTTTAATAAGAACATTAACAAGTTTCACTTGGTTAGTGTTTGAATGACATATTTCTTTCCAGACTTTTACTTTAAACCTCTTTGGATCCTTATATTTTACCTGACTTAAAGTCCAAATGTATTCCTTGAAATAAAAAGAGATGTATCATTAAAACACACAATTCAATTTTTCAGGAAGCTATAGCAACTGAAAATTTGTAATATAGCCTCAAAATAGATGGGACAAAAACTGTTGGAATTGAAAAGAGAAATAAAAACTCCCAGTCACAGATTATTTTAATACTAGAGGCCCGGTGCACAAAATTCATGCATGGGGCCCCCTCAGGCCAGGCTACACCCTCTCCAATCCAGGACCCCTCGGGAGATGTCCGACTGCCGGTTTAGGCCCGATCACAGTGATCAGTCGGACATCCCTCTCACAATCTGGGACCACTGGCTCCTAACTGCTCACCTGCCTGTCGGCCTGATCTCCCCCAACTCCCCCCTCTGCTGGCCGGGTCACCCCCAGCTAGCCTGGTCACCTCCAACTGCCACTCCCCCTGCCATCCTGGTCTCCCCTAATTGGCCCCCCCCTTCGCTGGCCTGGTCACCCCACGCAGCCTGCTGTTCATTCGTTTGGTCATCCCTCAGTAACCCCCCTACCAGTCTGGTCGCCCCACTCAGCCTGCTGTTCGGTCATCACTGTGATGGAGTCATGGACAATTTGCATATTCCTCTATTATTCGTATAGACTAGAGCCCCAGTGCAAAAAAATTTGTGCACTTGGGGGGGAGAGGGGGTCCCTCAGCCCATCCTGTGCCCTCTCGCAGTCTGGGACCCCTCAGGAGATAATGACCTGCTGGCTTAGGCCTGCTCCCAGGTGGCAGAGGGCAGGCCCAATTCTTAGGTGCAGGCCCTGGTCGGGCTCAGAGCAGGGCCGATTGGGGAGTTGGGGCGCTGCCCCCTGTCATGCACAGAGCAGGGTGGATTGGGAGGTTGCGATGCCACCCTCAGTCACGCTCAGGGTAGGGCCGATTGGGGGGTTGGGGCACCGCCCCCCTGTCACACTCAAGGCAGGGTCGATAGAAGTTGCGGCGCCACCCCCTGTCACACACAGAGCAGGGCCAATCAGGGGCTTGGGGCGTTGCCCCCTGTCATGCACAGAGCAAGGCCCATCAGGGGGGTTGGGGCGCCGCCCTGTATCACCCACAGAGCAGGGTCGATCAGGGGGTTGGGGTGCCGCCACTGTCACACTCAGGGCAGGCGATG